GAAAGCCAGTAAAACAACGACTTAGACGCTATGGTGAAGAAATCGACAAAGCAATTAAAGTCGAGGTGGACAAGTTGCTGCGAGCAGGGCACGCCAAAGAAATCCAATTTCCCGAGTGGATATCCAACACCGTGATGGTGAGAAAGGCACTAAACAAATGGCGCATGTGCATCGATTTCCGTGACTTAAACTTGGTCTGCCCAAAAAATCATTATCCCTTACCACGAATTGATCAGCTCGTCGATTCTACGGCTGGTTGCGAATTACTGAGTATGATGGATGCATCTCAAGGATACCACCAGATTCCGTTATGCCCAGAGGATCAAAGTAAGGTGAGTTTCGTGACGAGTAAAGGGACGTACTGCTATGTCGTCATGCCCTTTGGGCTTAAGAATGCTGGAGCAACCTACCAACGGCTGATGGACCGAATGTTCAAATCTCAGATCGGTCCACATATCGAGGTATATGTGGACGATATCTTGGTGAAAAGTAAGGCCTCAACCTCACACCCAGATGATTTAAGGGAAACATTTCAAACCCTTAGGGCGTTCGGGATGAAGCTGAACCCAAGTAAGTGTGCCTTTGGAGTAAAGGCAGGACGATTCCTGGGGTATATCGTCACAGAGCGAGGAATCGAGGTAAACCGAGAGAAGGTGAAAGCCATACTCGACATGGCCCCACCAAGAAATATAAGAGATGTGCAGGTTCTGACGAGACGAATTGCAGGGCTAAGCAGGTTCATTGCTAGAGCCGCAGAAAAAAGCTTCCCGTTCTTCAAATTACTAAAGAAGAGGTCAACCTTCTCATGGAGTGACGAAGCACAAATGGCCTTCGAAAAATTAAAAGAATTCTTGGGCGAGCTACCCTTGTTGACAAAACCAGAGCCCGGCGACGAGTTAGTACTTTATATATCTGTGGGTTCGGTATCACTAAGTTCGGTGGTATTGCGAGAAGAAGGATGTGTCCAACAACCAATTTACTACACCAGTCGAGTTCTTTAGGGTGCAGAGACAAGATATTCTGAAATCGAGAAAGCCGCCTTGACACTGGTGGTAACAGCTAGAAAACTAAGGCCATATTTTCTGAATCATGTGGTATTGGTTAGGACGAACTTCCAGCTAGGTGAAACATTGGGCTGACCTACGGTATCAGGTCGACTCGTTAAGTGGGCAGTCGAGCTGAGCGAATATTCTATCAAGTACGAGCCGAGGCAAGCCATAAAAGCTCAAGCCTTGGCGGATTTCATCCAAGAAGGTACCAAGGGAGAAGAAAAGAAGTGGGTCATTCACGTCGACGGGTCCTCGACGGCCAAAGGATCCGGTCTGGGAATCGTTCTCGTCTCACCCGAGGGCGAGCAACTTGACTTTGCCATTAGAATGGGATTTAAGGCCTCGAATAATGAAGTAGAATACGAGGCGTTAATCAAAGGAATTCAACTCGCAATTGGCGGAGGAGCGTCAGAAGTTGTGGCGCATTCCGACTCACAATTAGTTGTTGGACAAGTGTTGGGAAGTTGCGAGATCAAAGAAGAACGAATGATGAAATATGTCGAAGAAATCCAAAGTCTTGTGCAGGGTTTGGAGAAGTTTGAACTAACACAAATCCCTCGAGAGGAAAACAAACGAGCAGACTGGCTCGCGAGAATTGCGAGCTCGAATGATGGGAAGATGGGAAGTTCTATCACCACCATGCACTTAGAGGGAAGCGTGTTGGGCGAAACGATGGAAGTCGAGGAAAAAGACGACTGGAGAAAGTCAATTCATGAACTCCTGCAGGGTTGAGTACCTATGGGAGATAAACAGGAGGCAGAAAGGGTTGCTCGATATCTAAGCAAATACTTTGAAGTCGACGGGATCATGTTCAAAAAGTCTCTGGTTGGGCCTCACATGCGATGCGTTTCTGAAGACGAAGGAAATCATGTCTTGAAAGAAATACATGAAGGATGTTGCGAAGCACATATAGGATCACGAGCCTTGGCAGGCAAAGCCCTGCGGCAGGATACTATTGGCCCAAGATGCGAGCGATGGCAGAACAGTTGGTTAAAAAATGCGAAAGATGTCAACGACATGGACAAATCACGCACATCCCCGCCGAATACATGACGACCATAAACACCCCGATCTCCTTTGCGCAATGGGGAATCAACTTGGTAGGACCATTGCCAACGGGAACAGGGCAGAGGAAATTCTTAGTAGTCGCTGTCGACTATTTCACCAAGTGAGTCGAAGCAGAACCGTTGGCAAAGATTACGGAGGAAAAGATGATTCAATTCATGTTTAACAATAACTGCTGTCGATTCGGAGTCCCGAAAGTGCTAATTTCGGACAATGGAACTCAGTTCCAGGGGAAACGAATTCAAGCATGGTGCCTCGACATGGG